ACTTAGGCATTGAGAACACTAAGAGCAATACTCGTAACACCATTTCACTTCATTACTATGAGCGAAAAAAACTCTTCACACTTACTTCATCAATATCATCGGTGGGTGGCGGCAATTCCTCACAATGACAAACGTTTAGGAAGCATTTATGCGGCTCGCTTTCACCAAATACCAATTTCATATCAACCTGAAAAGGAAAATACACAGTTCCTGAGATTTCCACAGTTCTACTACAAAACAAGTTTGATAAAAAACAAGCACGCACAAATCAGTCTTACACAGACTTCATAACTCCCTGCTACAATCTCACTAGAAGAACAAGGATTACCGGCCACGCAAGGCCCTTTCCTAAGGGGGATACCAATTGCAAAAAAATTACCTCACTGAACTTTAACACATATCCAGGGGTTGGGGTGACGTGCCATGCCTCCGGTTTTTCCTCTATCTTCAAGTTCATATCTGAAACAGCCGAACGCCTTCTGGCGCTATTTTGTGTGCATAGTTTTTAGACTCTTCAGAAACGGCTGCAAAATAGTCTGAGATTGATCCACAGCGGATTTGAGTAAAGTACATACTGCATGAACCCTTCATTAACCAATCGACAGCATAAACAGTATACCAACAAACAATAAAATTTACATTGAACAACAAGAAAATAAGAAAGGCAACAAAATATACCCAAAGATTACAATTAAATAGAATTATGAACATGAACAGAGACTTAATTTTCGTATGAAAGGGTATAATGATAGAGGAAGTTTAAAGTCTGAAGGGCAATGAGGAAGCTAGATCTGTCATAGAAAACTATCAGAAACTTTAGATTATCAGCATACTGATTCCACTTTAAGTAATTCAAAATTGGTCAAAATAGGATATATTGAAAGGAGGCAATTAAACAGCCTGCCATATTCTTCACTGTTTAAATAGGAGTCGTTCTGATTAACAAGAGCGCCAGGAACCTGATCTAGCTCGATGCATTACCATAAAAGAAGTATTAAATACCCACGGCTAC